GGTGTTATTTCTCACCTCAGGGTTTGGTCTATAGACCCCAAAGGAACCAGCCCTGATTTCAAGGTTTCGCTCAGCTCCGCTTACTTCCATTTCCCTCTGGAAGCTGGAATTGCACAATTATCCTAAGCCTCAAATGAATTAATTAAAAATATATATATATAACAAACGAAAGAAAAAAAAACTGGAACAAAGAACCATGAGCACCCCCCCTGCCCCCCACCCCCGCAACTCATCACGTCTCTTTGGCAGCAATAACTTAAAATCACATCAATGAGGGTTCAGTCAACAGCAAGTTTTGTTTTGAAAGTGGGTTGGGAGGGGTGTTTGGGGTTTTTTTTTTAATCCTTTTCTTTAAATACAAAAATAGTCAAGTTGGCAGGTCCTGGGGGGCCACCCCACATGGGGGCAGCCAGGATTCACCCCCTGCCAGCCCTCCCCGTGCTCCTCCTCAAGACAGCAGGGCAGAGGTCCCGCCAGCCCTCAGGGGGACTGCTCCCCAAAAAGTGTGTGTGGGGGGAGCTCCCTAGCCCCATGAGCTCCCCCAAAGCTGTGCTGCCCACCCCGGATGTGGGGGGCACAAAAGCCAGCAGTGGCCCCAGTGTGGGGAAGGGGTGCACTCAGGGTGACATTAAGCAGTGGCAGCAGCTGGTCACCCCAAGGGCTCAGCAATGCCGTGGGGAAGCCATGGGGCAGCCGTGGGGCAGCCAAGCCAGCACGAGGTGCAAGGCCAAGTGCACGGCAAGGAGGGGACAAACACCACCTCGGGGAGCACAGATGGGCAAGAAGCCAAAGGGGAGACTTCACTGGGGTGGGGGACACACACACGCCGCAAGTGTTAGCAAGGTCAGGGCACTACCCTTAAAATGCTATTATTTTTTTATATATATATATATGTGTGTGTCTATATATATATATGTGTCTATTTGTACACGCACACACACAGCCACCTGCACACGCACGCGCCATCACCCACCGCCTGGCCCCGCTCCCGCTCGCAGCAGCCAACGCGCTCCTTCCTTTGACACAATCTGCCTCAAAAATCCAGAGCTGGGGGGGGGCGGGCCCCCTGAGGGCCCCCCGCCACC